TCACCAATGAGAAGATTAAAGGAACAAGCTTGGGAAGGGAGGTAGTCATCCAATGTGGCATCCAAATCCGAGGAGGAACAATGGAGTTACTAATGACAGTAATCAGAGCACGGTGGTAGAGCCAGACCACAATTGCCAAAATGTTATTCCCTAGGAATCATGACTGTCAGTCATTTCTCAAAGAGGAAATGCCAAACTATTTTTTTAAGTGGACTTAACAATGAACAAAATTATCTGTGAGTTTTTCCAGTGAGTTGTGTTTATAAAACAAGAGCATAGTGCCCCATTGGGGGATGGGAAACAATTACACCTTCCTAAAACATAGTACAAACAATGTCTTCTTAAATACATATAAATCATTGACCCTTTTTCTTGAGAAATTATTGAAATATTGCAAGATGTTTATACAGCAATTATAAAATTCTATTTCTTCTTAGAATCTTTCAATTAATTGAACAATTTCCCCCTGGTATTTTCTAAGGTGTAACTTTCTGTTTGGGACAGTATCTTTTGCAAAACATATCCTGAGCTGATCAGTTCAGGAAAATGTACAGGTAACAGAGCACTAATAAAATAGTTACGATTTTAATATTTTAAGTGTGTAGACAAACTAACTTTGGGCACTTATTTATGTATTGCTTGTTAATAATTAACTAATTCACCTTTTAAAAAGAGAAGGAAAGAGTAGCACAATCATTTAAAAGAATAAGAACCAACCCCACCAAAGGTGAAGGTGCTTAAACAAAGAAAAGCAAAAATACATTGTTCATCCCCCTCATCCTGCAACCCTATAATCCAAATCATGAAACATTAGTTAGGTCTTTTCATTACCTACAAAGAACTGGTGACTCTTTAATGGGGATAAAAAGACTAGAAAATATACCAAAGTATTTTTTCTTTTTACTTTATTCTACAAATAATGTTTATTATTTTTTAATTCAGCAAATAAAACAATTATTTCCCCTAAGAATAATTTTATATTGTAAAAATTACTTTAGGAAGAAATATAACAATTGGTCTGATTTTCAATTCTATTTTATTGCAACTGGATGAGTGTTTTCTAAATTGTGCATTACACCATAATATACAGGATTACAAACAAGATTACAGTACAGATCAATTCCAGTGGTATCAGCATCACATCTCAAACAGCACTTATTCTGAACTGCATTTTACATGCAATAGCTATTGTTCTAATTATGAATTAAATGGTTTGAATTTTATTTAAGCTACTGTACTAATTGACTACAATAGGTATAAATCCCAACATTAACAACCTGAATAGATTTAGGCTCAGATTTATTACATGAATATATGACAAATCACCATTTGTGTGACAATGTATAAAATCATGCATTTATATTTTCTGGAAACATCAATAGCTTCAGATGCTCTGTAAAATCATGGAATGCAAAGGAGTAAAAGACTAAAAAGAAACAGTGCAAATTGTATGTGATAGTCAAGCAGCTTTTGATTTAAAGAAGTGTATGTTGGCATTTATTCATAATATGTATATACAAGCTTGTGCAAGTAATTGTTGAATTGATATGTTTGATAAGGAATGCATCTCTTTTTTTCCATCCTCTTGAAAATTATGGATCTGGGATTTATTTTAGGGAAAGGGAAAAACTTTAAAGTGAAATGAATTGCTCAAATTGTGCAATTTTTTGTTTGTTTTTACAATTAGAGAAGAAAGAAGTGCTAAGGCAACACAATAACTTTCTAAGCACTTTCCTGCTGGTTTAAATTAGTTAAATTATTTTGTATAAATTAGATATAATTCTACTTTTCTGATATGTATAAAAATTGATGAAGCTGCATGGTTTTAAAATAGGAAATCCACATTATAAAAAGTCATTAAAAATTCTGTACAAAATCACAACAAAATAATTCAGCATGGGAAAGGTAACAAGTAGTAAAATGCTGGTTGAAAAATATATATTTATATATATATTTTAATTGGCCCATTACTAGTTTAAAAATTGCATAGATCCTAATTATTGCTTGTGATTTTGTTATCCCGATCAGATAATTAATACGATCTGAATACAGCTACACCAAATTCTAGGTGCATTTTTTAACTTTACTGTATTATTATTATTTTTTAAAATAGAAGAGCTATAGAAAATAATACATAAGGTGAACAGGAACTTTGATCCCCTGTTTCTTCCAAAGGCAGTAACAATAAATACATATATCACTTGAAGCTTGGAGTATTTGCACTTTGCAGCAGTAGTACCAAAAGGGCTGCCTTTTGTAAACACGACAGTCACTGTAAGCACAGTGGGTTCGTTTCCCGGGAATGGTGAAACTGACGTGTCTCTAATCGTGAAAGATGGCATTGAGCTGGGCACTCATGACTCGCTCATGATGTGAATGGCTATCGAAGGACATAATATTGTCTATGGGGATCTCGCAGCGAGGGGCAGCAGCTCCCGAGAAGATTGATCCGTGGCTTTGGGCCCCTGCCAGGGTCGCTGCAGGATAGTGCATGGTAAAGGCATAATTTTTTTCAAACTCGGCGGATGGTTCGTGTTTGAAAGAGAAGTTGCCATTGATGCTGAGCGGCGGACTGAGGGGTCCATCAAAGGAAGGGCTGGTGCAATCAGTCAGGGGGCTTTCAAAGAACGGCTCCAGCGCTGCGCTGTAGGCGTGCGGTGGCGGCTTGACGTGGAAGACATGGGAGCTGTCCATGGTACCGTAGGGCGGACTGGGCAACCCCGGAGACTGGTAGGAATACGGGTGCACTGGGAAGGAAGCGCTGGCCGTCGGCAGGTGCGGAGGCATATCCTGGTTCTGTTCTGGCAGAAAAGTCCGAGGGTTGAGCTGCAGGCAGCCTGCAACCAGGTTGGTGGTGGGCTGGGACAGGCCTTTGCAGAGAGTCTGTACGAAGGAGACCAGGTCAGGGCTTTTGCCTGAGCGCAGGATCTCCGACAGAGCCCAAATGTAGTTTTTGGCCAAGCGCAATGTCTCGATTTTGGAGAGCTTCTGTGTCTTGGAGTAGCAGGGCACCACCTTGCGCAGGTTGTCCAGCGCCGCGTTCAGCCCATGCATGCGGTTCCGCTCCCGGGCGTTGGCCTTCATGCGCCTCAGTTTAAAACGCTCCAGGCGCGCCTTGGTCATCTTCTTCTTTTTGGGACCGCGTCTCTTGGGCTTTTGATCATCATCTTCCTCTTCCTCTTCTTCTTCCTCTTCCAGGTCTTCATCTTCCTCCTCCTCCTCTCCCCCGTTCCTCAGGGAGTCCTCCTCGGCATTCATGGCTTCCAGGTCGTCCTCCTTCTTGTCTGCCTCGTGTTCCTCGTCTTGAGAACTGAGACATTCATCTGTCCAACTTGGAGGACCTTGGGGCTGAGGCTCGCCCATCAGCCCGCTCTCGCTGTAAGATTTGGTCATGTTTCAGTTTCCTATATTCAACAGGGGAGAGAGGCAAGTAGAAAGAAAAGGAGAAAAATGCCACACTCAAAAGCCAGATAAAGAAGCCTTCAGCTTCCACTCCCTAATCCTGCACAAACACAAGTGAACAGAAGTACACTCTATTATAAAATGGATGACTCTGAAGAAAAGTTAAGTGCTGTGTTTCATAATGGCTTGTGCGTGCCCCGCTGGTACGTAGAACACAGGACTGGGCATGGGTGGTGATAGTGTTGGATACATATATGTGATTATCATTTATGCATTTATGTTTTCTAGTGATTTATTCAACTGTTTATGGGGATTTCTCGACAGGATAATGTGTGTGGATGAGCATATATTTCAGTAACTTCATGTTTATCTGCAGGTGTCCAAAATCACTCATAACTCTACAAAAAATGGCGAGTCTGAAAATCGCACTTTCTGTTCCCATCTCTATTCTGGCTTCTGGGTACTTAGTGGTTTAAGTTGAAGAGCGATTACATAATTTGCTAACACTGGCAGTGTTTTTAAAGAAGATTATATCGAATAGAGATTGAAGAGCAAATGCACGGAAGAGGAAAAGTAGTTTCTACAAAATTATTCCACCACTAACGAAAGATTTACAACAAACGTGGACTGGAGTCATCCCTCCCTCCCTCGCCTTTCTGTTCTCGCCTCCCATCCCTCACCCTCCGCTAAATTTCCACCTTGTACAAAAGCTCTCGCAACTAGGCGATGGCTGGGGGCGCGGCGCAGAGCGCTCTCCCACGCGCTGGGGATCAGGTGCGGAAGGCTCCTCTCTAATAAACAGCCCATTGAAAGGGCCGCCCGCTCTTTATTGGGGCTTTTCAAAGTTCGCCTCAAACCTGCCTTTAAAAGATTGAGTAATTATAATGGTCAGCGATTGGCAATGACGAAGTTGCCGCTTCTGATATGGAATATAAAGAGCCTTTAGTAAAACAACTGAATTTTTGGCTCCAGCAGTGGATGATGGTGACTTGACCGCCTCTGGAGCAGTAACAGGTAGCAGTAGTGGTTTCTTTCCCTTTCTCCACTTCCCCCCTTCAACTAAACTTAACTTGGACCCAGCTTTATTTTCAAGACTGTGTATACGCAAGATGCCCACATTCTTTTCATTCACTGAAAAGATAGGTTGACCCTCCCGATGTGCATAAGATATATAAGCACAAATTTTGGGAGCAGTTGCCTTTTCTTTTTCTTTTCCTTTCTCCCCCCCCCACCCCCGCCCTTTCTTTCCTTACTAAAAGAAGTGAGCAAGTGAAATAATTATTTGTTTCTAGGACTTTAAAAAAATCACCGCCAGCAAATAATCAGTTACTGATTATTTTTTTTTAATCCACGAAACTCCTATACTATTAAAAAATTTAAATTTAATTAGAAAGCCTGCAGGGGGTACTTAAACACAGATTCATTATTAGTGAGTACTTGTGGGCAATTATAGGGAGGGATACTGGTCTCAATACACATACACACACTCTCAAATGCGCACATACACAGTATGTAGGTACATCAGGTCTTCAATTACTGCTTTATTCTCGAGGAAAAAAAAAAGGAAAAAGGGTTGTAATTACCTGTTGTTGTTAGTAGGTCCTGAACAGTGATGATCTCATAACCCTGGGGCCTCCGGACGCCGTGTCTTCTGCGTAGGCGAATTCCTCGTGTCCCGGCTGCGCTGGTGCTCAGGTTATATAGGCGAGGTAGTGATGCTGAGAGCGGGCGGGGCCACGAGCTGAGCAGCGAGCAGGTCCTTGCGCCTGGCACTTGCGCACGCGTCCAAGCTGTACGCTCCCTGCCCCCGCCCCCACCTCCCCCCTCAGCCTTGCTCTCCTCCCGCCCTTCTCAGACAACCGCTCCCCTCACCCTCTACCCCTAACCCCCTCCCCTTCTTCTTCCTCCCCGGCATGCGCCATATGGTCTTCCCAGTCCAGCCAAGAGCCGGGAACCACGTGACCTGCCTATTTGTATGCCGCAGAGCGCTCCATTCCGGCCCCTTTGTGGCCAGAAGAAAGTGGCCCATCTGTCGCCAGTTAGAGACTCCGCGGACCTGTTTTTACCCGCAGGAGAGATTAACCCTTTCTGGCAGCAGAAGGAAGAGGGCATAGAGAGGGGAGGGATTTGAGGGAAGGGAGCGGGAAAGCTAAAGATGACCGGGTCTAGGTTAGAAAGAGAAGCCTGCGTTCGCGCGGGAACTAAGGCACAAGAGAAAAGGTCAGAAAGCTGGGAGACTGAGGCACGCAGTGAAGAGTCTTCGCCCTGGCACCAGCCTCCGGGGTAGCATGACTCTGCGCTCTCCGAGAAGCCCATTTCTTAGTTTCTGCCCTTTGGCCAACATTTTGCTCATTGGCACCAAAGGTTGGCTTTTCCTGATGTCCATCAGCCCCCTTCAGGCAAATGCATACTCCATGTAAAAATGACTTTATTTGTAAAAGCAGCTTTGAGACTAGTTGGCTAGCCAGATCACCCCAACCTAACCCCTACAGACATAAAAATGTTGTGCCTTCCACTTTACTCCCACTATGCATGCCACTCTGTTTGCACTGACCAGCAGCTAGCTATCCTCTCTGGAGACCCCTCTCTACTTCAGTTTCCCCTTCCACCTACTAGGATTTTGTGCTCAAAGCAAGCTAGTTCGTTCTGTCAGGTCTTGAGTTCCCTGTCATCAAGCAGTTAAGTGTGTTGGAATTGGGCTTCTCTGATGCTTGGATTTTACCTTTTTACAGGGGACACTAGGTCACTGCAAAGAAGCCAGTCCTGGGGGAAGTTGTGGTTGACAGGGGAGCAGACTTCCCATGGCTCAGCTTTATTGCCCCACACTGACCACTAGTGCGATGATGGGCACCCTATCACAGCCCAGCCAGTGCTCTTGGTATCTAATCTCTGGTCTGTAAGTAGGTACTTGGGTCAGTAGAGCTTTCTTAAAAAAAAAAAAAATTTAAAAATTAAAAAAAAAAGTTGCAAGGGGCCTATATTAAACAGGTCTTTCCCCTCTTTCCAAAAAGGTCATTAGAACAACCCTTGGAATGGCTCTGTAGCATCCAAGCCTCCATTTGACATGACCTCCACTTCCCCTTCAAGCAAAGACTACTGGTCTTCCTGATAAATTTGATTAATTCTGAAGAAGTCATGTTTGTTCGTAAACAACAATTATTTAATGTTTCTGACCATGACATGTTCCAGAATGATAGTTTTTTTTTTTCTTGGAAGGGAGGAGAGAGGAAGGAAAGAAGACGACGGGCAAGGGAAAGGAAAGAAAAGGAAGAAAAAAGGAAGAAGAGCTCGACTAATCCGGGTTTACTCTTTCTCCCCTAGGTTCTCTTTTAATCCTCCATTAACTTCTTACTCCCTGGAAAACCTGAAGCCCTTCTCAATGAATGCATCTGACTTGAATTGCTTATTAAAGGCAATTGCCCTAAATGTCCCTCGAGTTTGCAAACAATGTCAGGGTTGAGCTGCTGAAGTGGGGTACATCTGGGAAAGGGTGAGGATGGGGGAAGAGGGTCCTAAAGAGATTGCATGTGTAAGGATGGTGGGGGATTGCAACCATTCCTGTCCAGCACAAATCCAAAAGAAGAGAGCAGTTGTACATTCTGACCAGTGGCCACAAGCATAAAATGAATCTTTCTGAGGTTCTGGAGAAGAATTGTATGGACTTTTTCTTTTCTACCTTGATTCGTCAGCTGACAAAGAGCGCACAGAAAGATAAAAGAATTCACTAAGGAGTATGGAATCGGTATTTACTCTGATACCATCTGTGCCTTCAGTGCTGGGATGTCAAGAGTGACGACTTGCAAAGGCTGGTCCACAACCCGGAGGTCTGAGGAGGTTCGCTGCAGTGCCTAAGAGCTGCCACTTTCCCTATTATCTATTTTTGGGGAGCTGGAGAGGAGATGTTGTGGGAGGAGTGGGAAAGAGGATTCCAGGTGACCTGGAGGCCCAGAGATGACTTACAGACCTCCCCACCCCCAGAAGTAAAAACTTCTCCAGTTCGAGGCATTCTGTGGAATACAGGAAAATCTTAGTGGAGTCAGATATTCCTGGCCAAGAAGAAGACCCGGGTATTTCCCTTACAAGATTCAAATGTAAGTGCGGGAGATGCTAGACCCGTTTCTACCCTCTGCCAATGATTAAATCCACCTGGAATTCCCTCTATGCGTCCTTACACTGAGGCCTGGGTTTTTGTACAAAAGAAGAGTCACTCCGGGAAGTTCCGGAGATCTGGCCGATGTCTGGTGTTACGGTGACTCTTATTGGGCTTCCCGGCCTGCAGCCACTGCTGTGCACCAGCCTCTGCGCAGAGAATGGCTACCCAAAGCACCAGTACCATGGCATTAGGCAAGTGCTCGCAAAGCCGGGGAGGCTGCCGCCCCGCGATAGGCGGGTAAGGGAGGAGCCCAAAAGAACTTGGATCAAGGTGCTTCTGGTATGGGGAAGGGTCAAGAAAGTAGAATAGAGGTGGCTAGGATGCTTAGAGAAGACTGAACCGAGGTTCCGCAGAGCTCAGCGCTGAAGATGGGTCTCCGTGGTCCCGCCACGCCTCCTAAATTTCCTTCTCTTTGGACTTGTTTGGACGGTTCCACACTTTTCACCCTCCTGATTTCCCAAGTTCTCTTCCTTTCTCCACGCTCTTGGTTAGCTGTACTCCCCCAGCTCCCGCCCCACTGGACGCTGTAGGCTGCCGAGCGGCACGCGAACCGCACGCGCAGGCAACAAAAGCCGCTTTCATGACTCACTGCCCTCGAGCAATGCCCTAAATCTGCCGCCCCCCGGGTCCCTGCCCTGACCGCGCTGCGCGGGACAGGCGTCGGGGCCGTTAGAGCGGCAGCCGGAGCGCCCGCGGGAAGGGGGGCGGGAGGAGGCGTGTGGCCCGGGATGTGTTGAGGGGAGTGCGTCCTGGGTGGGGCGGAGGGGAAGGGAGGGGGTCGCGTGCAGGGATGGGAGAAGAAAGGGGACTGAGGCGTGTGGCCCGGACATAGGGGGTGGGAAGCGTGTGGCTGGCGGCTAGGGGTGGGGGTGGGGTAGGGACGACGCATTCGCAGAGCTAAGATAAAGAGCAGAGGCCGGCCGACGTACCCGGCGGTGACCTGTTTCCCGGGGAAACAGATGCTTGCTCTTGCGAATAGAGGTTTGCGTTCAAAGAAAGGACCTAGTGTGACCAGGGTGGCCCCTAGGATCTCGAGCCGCGCCTGCGTCCCCTCCTGGCCTCTCGCAGCAGGGGATACGTCCCAGCTCCACGCATTCCAGGGGCAGGAGGCCGGAGATGCAGGGCACTGAGGGTATTTGGATATCGTGGGGCTCAGAGGGCCAAGGAGCGGAGAGCTGAGAGCTATAGGGAACGTTCCCTCTCAGGCCCACTATCTGGAAGGTTCTTGGGAGCCAGAGAAGGATGATGCTGGTAAGGACTAGATAGCTGGCGCAGAGTGGGCTTTGCTCCTTCGCCTCCAGGGAGGCGCTTGGGCTCCCGACTCCCAAGTCCCGGCCAGAGGCTAGAGCTACCCCAGCTCGACAGGCAGGCGGCGGGGGAGAGCCAGGAGCAAAAGAGACGCTATTAAAATGCCTCGCCATAGCCCCGAGCGCAAAACCCGTCCTCCCCAAATCTCCTGGGCTTGCGGCATAATCTTAATTAAGATAATTGATTCATATTGCACCTGCGAGAACGGAAAAAAAATTGATTCCAACCCCCAACCCCACAAATTGCTTAGAGCTATTGGATGGAGCACGACGCGGCTGTGATTTGGAGAGTGATTTAGTGCCGGGCTTCCCCAGCTCCGCCTGCTTGGGCCCTTTTATTTATTATTTATGTCCTCTCTTTCCCACCAGGGCCTTGGTGGCTTCCCTCCTGGTGTCCGGAGACCTCTAAGGGACTTCATCTCTGCTTCCCTGTCAGAATCCAGGGGTTCCTTAAACCGTTCAACACACAGAATCAACAACATTCAATAATCACAGACGGAGCAAGCAGACATGGGTCTGGAGCACGATTGTCTAAGGCCCTGTGCGTCAGAAAGTCTGTGTATGCAAATGTATGTTCGCCTGTGATTGTAATTGAGTGTAAAAGTGTGTGAATCTGTGAGTATAATCCAGTGTCAAATTGTGTGTGAATGTGAACGTGGGTGTATGTGAATATATACACGTGATTGTTAGTGTGTATGTGAGCATTTGAGCAGGTTAATGCTATATTAGTGACTATACTTGTATTTGTGGGAACGTGTATAAGTGTGTGGGTTTAAGTGTGCACGAGTAAATGTGTGCTCATGGCCATACCTACTCACCAGTGAGGAACGTGAACAGAGGGCCCGCACCTGTTTCTCGGGAAATGAGAAACAGCTTGTGGTCTAAAGGGGACTTGCCAAGCACCCAATGTTTGCCAGCCTTTGCCTTAACAGGGGGGGGAAAAAAAACTAAGCAAACAAAAATCCCCCGTAGTTGGGCAGGTTCAGGAGTCAAGTCACACTGACGGAGTCTGGGTGTCCCCTGAACAATAACTATTACCGTGGGCTGGGAAAGAAAACCTGGACAAGTTCCTAAAGGCACGAGAAGAACGCAGGCAAGCCACGCTTAGAGCAGCTTGGAGGGCAAATGACTTCCTGAAAGAATCAGCACCGTGGACAATTCCCACACGCTGGCCCTGAAATTCGTCCTATTGAGAAGGAGCAACAACTCCCCTTTGGGCAGTCTTTCGCTTTTTCCAGTTCACTTTCTTTCGCTAAACCATTGGTCAATATGCCCGAATTTTTGGTCAGAGAGCCCTGTAAGTCTGTATCTAATTAGCCACTTTATCAGAATAAGTTTCCCATAACACTAGATATCTGGTTTTAGGGGCTTGAGTTAAGCTATAATTAAAGCTGATGAAGTCTGAAACAAAGAAATCACAAATTGAACAATTTTTAAAAATGTCATTATAACATTTGTGCTCATTTGCTATAAAGCTCTAAAAGTGAAATAAATCTATTTTTGCTATCCATAGAAATAGCAAAATATCTCTAGAATGATTTTTTTAAATTTTGCTTTTGTTTTATGGAGTATACATTAATACAAATCTTTCCCTATCACTATCATTCTATCACCTCTCTAGTTATTTTATATTATAAATACTTTCTTTTAAGTTAATGGGGAAAATAAACTTACAGAAGCTAAATGTCATTATTTCCTCAGTGAAACACAATTATCTAAATCATGCCAAATTTAAATATTGTATATTAGTACACATGACTTACCCAGAATACACAGGAAGTCTAGTAGAGATCTGACTCTAAGAAGAGCAAATACCTTTAGAAATTTAAATATCTTATAAATATATTCCATATCCCCCAATACACACACACACACACACACACACACAATTTATGTAATTTTCAAAATGTCATCATTAGCAAACAAAATTCTTAGATTATTCAGACTTCACTGTAATGGAAAATATAATTATTTTTGATTCAAGAATTCACCCCTAGAGTCTCACCTTCTTTAAATAAAATGTTTTCTTTCCTTTTAACAAATGCATTTCTACTTGAATTAAATATTGATAATTTGACCTTTTATGTCTTTAACTAATCAAAGTGGGAAAATTCCAAATGTAGATCTTGGAGTTTGGCCCTGGTGGGTCTTTCCGCTTGAGTAGGCACTGAGATTAAAGGAGTTGAACTTCCTCTTTCACTGCTTTCTCCTTGCACTAATTGCTTATGCAAAAAATGCAGATTTGTATTAATTAGTAACTCCACTGATTAGTTCTGTGGTATTTTCACATAATAAATCATGCTGCAGACATGAATTTTGGCACATCACCCAGTGGTGGCTCAGGCTGCAATACAGATTTCATATTAAAATAAAATCTCTGACTAAATCTACCTTTCCAATGCAGGTACCATGAGCAGCCACCTGCTGGGAGCACCTGCCATGGGAAATTATTTTTAGTCAGTGACAAGTTGCTTTGGGGCCTAAACAGAACAATCTGATTATGAGGTTAGGTTCTAATAATAAATAAACAGATAAATAGTTAAACACATACATATATACTTGACATAAATGTGCCTAAGCTTACTCATTTTGTAGACAAAAATGTTATAACAGAGAATCTGTTTGTAATAAGACTAGATATTTAAAAACAACTTCCCAATTTGTTGATAAACACCATTGTCTATTTTCTTTCTGTGATATTTTTACTCCTGATATTCTGAGACTCATAACTCAAACTCACTGGTTTATCCTGTCCCTGTACACTCAAGCTAGTTCTAAAAAATAAAAGGTCCATAAAAGCTGGAGGAAGAGAAATATAAATGTCAGAAGCCATCACAGAGGGAACTGGCTACTCCTGCCATCTTAGCAAAGGATGAGAAGCTGTGAACCAGGCACTCACAGTTGCCTGGTGTCAGGCAAATTCTCCTCTCCCCACTGGTTTCTGTGTGAGCATCTACACAACTCCTTTCCT